GGACAAGTGCAGAATCCTGCTCTTGGGACGGAAGAATCCCAAGCATTGGTACAGGCTGGGGACCGACTGGCTAAGTAGTAATTTGGCAGAAAAGGACCTGGGGATTACAGTGGATGAGAAGCTGGATATGAGTCAACAGTGTGCCCTTGTAGCGAAGAAGGTTAATGACATACATTCTCTAGGCCTGGGTCACTTACTTCCCACCCGGCCAGAAACCCCCCAAAGAAACAACCCCAAGCCCCACAGGCGTAAGAATAGCACAGGCAGAAGTCCAGTAGCGGGTGCACTGGGGGCTGTCCAGTTTACTGCCCTTAATACATGTAGGATGACCTTCACTGTGGCTGGGTGACGTGCACATTCCATGCAAGCAACTCAGGGCCCGCAGAGTCTGAGTTTGGGCCCTTGACACCGAGTGGGTGACCTGGGAGAGCTAAGAAAGACAGAAACGAGACTTTCCAGGACCCAAGCAAGTAGTTCCACCCCTAGCCTGGCAGGTTCTGTGCAGCTGAGGAGGTTGAAAGTCTCACGGATGGAGAGCAGCAAGCTGGAGCACATGGAAGTGATCCCCTAGTTGGAGCTCTGCTTCACGATGTTGTCATAACATCTTTTAAAAAGTTTTTTAGATTTTTAAGTCCCATCTTGTCAAAGCCCTGGGTGGGTGGATTGAGTTGGGATTGGTCCTGCTTTGGGCAGGGGGCTGGACTTGATGCCTCCTGAGGTCTCTGCCAGCCCTGGGATTCTGGGATTCTAAGCCCCAGTGTAGATGTGCTGCCCTTGCTCAGACCTCTGGCATAAATACCCTGCCCCAGTGCAACCCCCTGTTTAGACATTCCACCCTGGGCAAACTGTGCTCAGTGCAGCTTACTTCAGCGTGGACAAAGCCTAGAGGGTTAGAAAGGTGCAAGGCAGACATCTTAGCCAAGCAACAGTTAACAAGCTCTACAAAACGGACAGAAGCCACAGAGGGAAGGAAGGTATTTCAAGGGTGCAGTGACGCACGGTGAGAAGCTAGTCAACAGAAGCTGTGAGTGGGGGAATGTGAGAGTCAGATACACCTAGCAAACATTCTCTAGGCCTGGGTCACTTACTTCCCACCCGGCCTGAAACCCCCCAAACAAACAACCCTAAGCCCCACAGGCGTAAGAATAGCACAGGCAGAAGTCCAGTAGCGGGTGCACTGGGGGCTGTCCAGTTTACTGCCCTTAATACATGTAGGATGACCTTCACTGTGGCTGGGTGACGTGCACATTCCATGCAAGCAACTCAGGGCCCACAGAGTCTGAGTTTGGGCCCTTGACACCGAGTGGGTGACCTGGGAGAGCTAAGAAAGACAGAAACGAGACTTTCCAGGACCCAAGCAAGTAGTTCCACCCCTAGCCTGGCAGGTTCTGTGCAGCTGAGGAGGTTGAAAGTCTCACGGATGGAGAGCAGCAAGCTGGAGCACATGGAAGTGATCCCCTAGTTGGAGCTCTGCTTCACGATGTTGTCATAACATCTTTTAAAAAGTTTTTTAGATTTTTTAAGTCCCAGCTTGACAAAGCCCTGGGTGGGTGGATTGAGTTGGGATTGGTCCTGCTTTGGGCAGAGGGCTGGACTTGATGACTCCTGAGGTCTCTTCCATCCCTAGGATTCTATGATTCTATGATTTTCTCACATGGGAGTACCCAGCTGTTAGGAAGAGGACAGATAGTCATGGGGAATTTGGTGGTTAGAAATAGAAATGGGTTTGTGGTGAGGGGGAGATCCACATGGTAAATTGCCTGCTTGGTGTAAAGTCTGTGGACATGGACTTATGGGCAATGAGGTCCAGAGGATGCCAAGCTAGAGAGGTTCAACCAGTAACATGATACGAAGCTGTAGCAGGACCTGCTAGTCTATGATGGCAATAGGGCAACTGGCATGAAACTCGTGTGTGTGCGTTATGTGCTCATCTTACCTGCTGCTCAGCTGGCAATTAGCATATTACTCTGGGATTAGGGTTTTATTATTTGACTGGGAAGGTCACAATTAGACTCAGATTTTATGCTTACAGCCTATTCTGCCCCATTAGCATCAGGGCATTTGTTCTCATATTCAGCTTAACTCTTCATTTTCTTAATTTACTTCTTTGTTGTCCATTATACACCACTGTTTCACCACAGAGAATTCAATACATGGGTTTTGCTTACGCCTATTTTACCATATATTGCCAACAGTCGGTTGATAAGTGCAGAATTCTGGTGCAACTTTGCAGCCCTGATTCAGCAAAGCACTTGAGTGAGTCCCAAAGTTTAAGCAAGCAAATAACCAACTGATTTGCTGAGTTGGGGCTAATGATAGATAGATAGATAGATAGATAGATAGATAGAGGGGGTGTGTGGGGATGGATAGATAGATAGATAGATAGATAGATAGATAGATAGATAGATTAGATGGGGTGTATAGGGAGAGATAGAGGGAATAATGATGTGTAGTCTTTATAGCAGTTTCAAAGATCCCAAAATGCACAATAGAAACTCATGCTATAAGCCAAATCTGAACTGATTCACTCACTCTAGAGTCTACAGCATGCTGCATAGCTTGCCTTGCAAAAAGGCAGGTGGCTGTGAGGAGAGCAGACGGCTGAGCGTGTCCCAGAACGGGACACAGCAGAGAGCGGCATAACACCTCTCCCCGTGGCACACTCCGCGTGTCGTACGTTAGGTTTCTGTGCGCTCAGCAGTTCCATTGTGCACATGGTGTCCGTCAGTCGGCACTTTCAGTTCCTGCTCTTCTTCCAGGCTCTCACTAGCATTTTGAGAGTCACCGTCTGTAGGCCCATATTCCGCTCTGCCACCTTCAGGCCAGTCAAAGGACAATAATTTTCCTCCCCAGTAATTGCAGGGTCCCTGTGTTCAATTTCAGGTCCTTTCCCCTTCACAAACGTTGATCTCCCAATGGCAGGCCTATAGTCTCCTTCATTGCCTCTCTGTTTCTTCCTCCCTGGCTGTATCAGGTATGCCACCCTGCCATCCACATACCAGAGGGCGTCATTTCATCTTTGGCCCAGTGCAGCCATTATTCTCTGATTCACCGCAGAAACTCTGGCCGTGACATACGGCGGCAGATTTCCAAGTGTTCAGTATGTTCAGCTGGGGGCCAGATTTTCAAGATGGCCTAGCCACCATTTCTCAATATTATTTACCACTCCACCAACCTTTGTATTATCTGCACATTTTTTCAACAATCGTTTTATCATTTCTTCCAGAACATTGGTACGAATGGTGAGTAGCATTGGTGTCAGACCCAGTCCCTGCAGGATCCCACAAGCAGAGGCCATAGAATCATAAAATCCCAGGGACAGCAGAGACCTCAGGAGTCATCGAGTCCAACCCTCTGCTAAAAGCAGGACCAATCCCAACTAAATCATCCCAGACAGAGATTTAATAAGGGATGAAGATTCCACTGCCTCCCACCTCCCATTCTAGTGCTTCACCCTCCTTCTAGGGAAATAGTTTTTCCTAATCTCCAACCTAGACCTCCCCCCCTGAAACTTGAGACCATTGCTGCTTGTTCTGCCATCTGCCCCCACTGAGAACAGCCTCTCTCCAGCCTCTTCGGAACCTCCCTTCAGGAAGTTGACGGCTGCTCTCCAATCCCCCCTCACTCTGCTCTTCTGCAGACTGAACAAACCCAACTCCCTCAGCCTCTCCTCAAAGGTCATGTGCTCCATGATTCTATGATTATAAGAACATAAGAACAGCCGTACTGGGTCAGACCAAAGGATGGGGAAGGAAGAGGGGATGGAGTGAGCAGGGCGAGACCTCAGAGAAGGCCAGGGAGGAAGCCGGGCAAGAGTATTTGGGTTTGAGGTAGATCTTACATTGTACTTATATTGAAAAAGTGATCTCGTGGTTGAAAAGGTTGGAGACCCCTGCACTAGAACAATTAACCAGGGATTGTGGTGGATTTCTCATCCCTGAAAAAGTTTAAAACACGACTGGCTGCTTTTCTAAAAGGGGGTGTTCTAAGAAATATTTCAGGGATACACTCTGGGCGGTGTCATGCAGGAAGTCAGTCTAGATGATCTCAGTAGTCCTTTCTGGCCTTGGAGAGCCACATTTTCAAACAGGTCTCTCAACACAAGCACACAGATGTTGCTCTCTGAAGTTGGATTTGTAGGTACAAACAGAATCAGAGGGGCTTGATTGTACTCCCATTCAAATCAATGGAAAGACTGTCTGACATAAATATGCTTGGTCCTGAGCCAGACCGGGTGACTGAAAATCTAACCACTCAGTTTGCGGATGTCACTGTCCAGTTGTGTGCGCTGTGCAAATTTGGCAGGTACCACAGCCTGGCCCTAAGCAGCATACACAGAAAGGTCCCTTTCATCCCTGCTGCAGACACATGTCCACAGTAAGGCTGTGACAGGTCCTTCCAGTCCGGTCACCACAAAGAGAGCTGACTCTTGAGTTTTCCAGTTAGTTTCAGGTCATATCTGTGAATGAAATGCCCCAGCAATCCCCAACACTCATTATCACCCCTGAGTGAAGGCCAGATGGGGTAAACCAAGAGCTTTTCCTGTTCTTTAATGAATAATAACCCCAGATAAAGTTCCCGCGAGTTTGTTCTAAACGTCCGCAGCGCAGTAACATGCGCATGGTGCTTCTGTGCATTGGTGGCAGGGGGTGAATGCACATGGCTGGTTTGCAAGTGGACAGCTTCCAGCTGAGCAAAGTTTCAGTGAGGTGCCAGGCCCTGGCTTTTCTGTGCTGCCACTGAGCGGGTTTAGTGCCCCTCATCAGAGGGGCAGCATCCGACCGAGGAATGGGTTAGCATTTGGGGGGAGCTGACTGTTCAGCTGTAAGAAAGCAGCACTCCAAAATGCCACCCTGCTGAGCCAGTCTGAATGGAGGTGAGACTCCCTGGATAGAGCCCGTTCTGGCAAAACTCAGATCACGACAGCTGAGCCTCACCCACTGGCCTGCAATGCTTCCTCTGGGCCATGCACTGTAATGATGCTGTTTGTCTCTTTGCAGCACCCCTACCCTACAGAGGATGAGAAAAGGCAGATAGCAGCACAGACAAACCTGACACTTTTGCAAGTGAATAACTGGTGAGTGAACTATGGGGACGATGGGATTTTCCTGCCTAGCCTGTGACTTTCACCACGTGGGTAGCAAGATGCTGATTGTCTTGCTCCCTTCTCGGCCATCTCTCGGAATAGAGCTGGCATCCAAGCCCGAGCCCGGTGCCTTTGAGGGTTGTGCGTAGCGTCAGGTGAAGTAGCTCCCAGGGACAAGAGAAGATTCAAACCTGGGCACCTCACAGGCTCAGGCTGGTCCTTAGGCTGAAGACACAGGAATGAATTTGTGTCCCCTCATGCTTAAGCAGAACAGGGACAAAGAAAGAAGCTTCTCGCTACAAATTGGTTCCAAACCATTTACAGTCGTGCTCCAAGGCAATGCAAGAAGGCTGCTGTGGCTTCAAGTGGGCTCAGCCCAGATGTGAATGGCGTTCACCCGTCTCATCAGCCCACCACAGATGTGCCCTTCTCTGGTCAGGTGCCCTCGTTGCTGGAGGGGAGGGGAGACGGTATCTTGCTGTCTGGCCACAGACCGGACTAACAACGCGCTGGAGGTCAGGGCAGAGCTGCATCGCACAGTGGAGGTGTAATCTCAGGGACCAACGGTTCATTTACACTCTCATTTAATAGGCGTGTTTACCCGAAAGCTGGGCCACTCTTTTCCACTTGTCTTTGTTACTCAGCTAATTATAGCTCTGAGGCGCTGTCTCTGCTCACGCCCACGCTCCCGCTAGCTCTCCCAGGCTCTGCCTCCACCCTGAGCCAGGGCAGTGCAGGTACACTCCTTGCTGAGCGAGCAGGAGGAGAAAGAGCAGGGTAGGCCTGGCAGCATCAGTGGTGGCAGAGGCATGCTGAGGGCAGGCAGGGAGGGACTTGGCACACACTGCTTCTCCTTGGGCCACCATGGCTACCCTGCTAGCTCCAGGAGAACCGGTGTGAGTATGTGTCCGGGAGCAAGACAGTCTTACCCCTCGCCCAGCAATATGCAGACCTCAGTGGGGCAGGAGCCAAATTAGTGATTGGCATTACCCAAAAGAGCCACAGGTGGGCTGGAGGGAGGGAGGGAGAGAACAGGCTCTGAGCAGGATGGGGGATATTTGGAGGGGGAGAACTGTCCCTGGGTGGATAGGTTGGGGGGTGGCCTGGGGGGAGCGACAGGCTCTGGACGGCCTGAGAGGGGTGCCTGAGGGGGAGGGAACATCTTGGGTGGGTAGGGGCATGCTGGGGGGTAGAGAATACCCCCTGGCCACCAGTCTCCGGCCCAGGCAATGCTGGGTAAGTCTGCTGGTCTATTCATATTTAAACATTTGGGGGACGGTTACAGACATTGTCCTCACAGCGACATGCTAACCAAGTATCAGTCTATCAACTAATTGGCTAACCGCACAGTAAAAGCCTCCAGATTGGCTAGCAGCTTAGGCTGGTTAATAATCACATCGCACTGCATTTTACTGCCTCTGTCGGAGCCCCGCTGCCCCAGCCTGCAGTGTAGACGGCCATGGTCTCACGCCAGGCAGCTCTGATGCCAGACACCAGCAATGGAATGCCAGGACACAGTGGCTCTTCATGGGGAAACCAGAAGATACAATAGTTTCCAAAAATCTTCTGGACCAAAGCCTGACCTCCCTGCAGTCTGGCAGGGCTTCCGAGGACTTCCCTAGGGCCAGGATCGGGCCTCCCGAGATGACATTTGCTCATAAACTACCAGGAGAGAGAAGAGCCAAAGTCAGAAATACGGGGGAGCCAGAGAACACTGAAAAGCAGCCTGGCCATGGCTGTGTCTCTGGGCTGCCTTTCACGGTAATGGAAGTATAAACCTACCTGTGGGGGGCGGGAGGGGTGCAGGGAGGGCTGCTCAAAGGGACAGGAAGGGCCCATGGGGGCACCCCAGGATACGGAGGGTGGTGACCTCCCCAGTGCTACCACGAGTCCCCTGTGGATTGCACCCATTCATACTAGGGCTGGATTGAGTTCCAACAAATCACATCAGTGCTATGACACCGACACATTCTGAGATTGGTTTCACTACCCAGGTGGTTCAGCTGCGGCAATGCCACCAGTTACGCTGTCGTTACTCCAGATCTGCACCAGCGTAAAACAAAAGTGAACTCACACTCTCCTTAAAACTAACTTCAAGAGAAGTTGGTCCAATGACAGACTCTCTCGTGCCACTCTTGTCTGTCTCTCTCAAACCTTCAGTGTCACCTCATGTAAGTCACTTCTTGGGCCACCTTTGCCGCTGGTGTAGGTGTGTGACGTCCAGGAAGTTATACCAGACGAGCCCTGCAAATTTGTGGATATTTGCTTTCTATCTGCGGTATCCACATCCGCAGAAATGGATGTGGATAGCCGCAGCTCGTGTTTGTGGCTACAGATGTGGGTGTGGATACAAATTTTGTACCTTTGCAGGGCTCTGTATACCAGGGATGAACTGATCCTTGAGTGAAACTTTTAGTTCCTAGAAAAGGCTTCCAGAAGTAAATTTTTTAAAAGTGCCCATGTGACTTAGGAGCTCAAGGGCTACATTTTGTAAAGTGTTTAGGTGCCTGACAAGGCAGATAGGCACTTAGTGGGATTTTCAAAACCTATCAATCAAAAGAAACCAACAAGAACTTTTAATTTCCAAGGCACATAGACACCTAACTCCAAGCTCCTCTGGGCCCCACACCACAGAAGTGGAACCAGACAGACTGTGCTTGAGAGGCCAGAACCAGAAAGTTTGCCTGGAGCTGCCCAGACTGAGGGCAGCTTGGAGCTGGGTTCGCAGGTGTTTTTGAAAACCCACTGGGTTCATATCTGCCTCATTAGATCCTTACGGACGTTGACCAGTCTGGCCCTTGGGCTGTTGGGCTCACATGTCGCAGGGCAGGCAGTCGAGAAGTTGCAGACAAATGAGTAGCCGTAGAAGGCGTTAGGGCAGTGGGATTGTTTTCCCGAGGGTGTTCGCTGTTTAGTTCAGCTCAGAATGTGTGGACGGAGCAGCAGGGCAGTCGTAGGGACGTTGCCGGAGGAGTATTTGGGACCTGGGGAGCATCGGTCCCGGACGTTCAAAGCTCTATGTTCGTTTGTTGCTGCTGTCACTCCGTGCAGAGAATCGTAGACGATTAGGGTTGGAGAGAACTGAAGCAGCCACCTTGTCCAGCCCCCTGCTGAGAGCAGGACCAACCCCAACTCAATCCGCCTGCTGCCGTGTCATGTGCAGCACACGGTCATGCCGGATTGAACCGAGCGGTAAAATGATTACACATGGGAGGATGCCATTCAGAGGGAGCAATGATTAAGTCAATCAAGGGCCAGTATTGCTAGTAACAGCGTGTAAACTCGTCATGGTAGCGAGGGAGCAATGATTAAGTCAATCAAGGGCCAGTATTGCTGTCTAGTAACATCGTGTAAACTCGTCATGGTAGCAGGTATACATTTGCAATCGCACAGTGCTCCCTGCTGGTGAAAGTCCTCATAATGCAATAATTACAGTTGTATTTTTCTACAGTGGCTAATAGCAAACTGCTTCAACTTATAAGGAATTACTTACTTGTGAAATAAGGTAACATTTTCAAAAGCACATAAGGGCTTGTCTACACAGGCAGACAGTTCCAAATCGCTATCCCAGAGTAGCAAATGCCAAACAGCTGTTCTGCACTAACTCCCATTGTGGCCACTCTTATTCTGCGCTGCCTTTGTTCTGTTTAGCTTTCACTACTTCGGAAGTGGATTTAGCAGGAAAAGGCACTCTTAGGGCACGTCTGCACAGCACCGTTATTTCGGAATAACTGACATTATTTCAAAACAACAGAGTGGGCGTCTACACAGCAAGCCGTTCTTCTGAAATACTGTCGAGCTGGAGGACTTCTTACTCCGACTCCTGCAGCCCTCATTTCATGAGTAAGGGAAGTTGAGGGAAGCGTGCTCTTCCTTCCACTTCCTGCTGTGGAGACAGCGCCAAAAGCCAAATGAAGCTATTTTGACATCAGCTACGCAGTTGCTGTAGCTGAAGTTGTGTGGGTTAAGTCAACGTTTGCCCTGTGGTGTAGACGTGCTGTTGGTGTGGAATAAGAATGCCCATTCATGCAGAATAGCCACTGTGCTTTAAAATCACACCCTAGCTTACTTCACAATAACTTCTCTCTGCAGCAGGTTGGGAGCTCAGCTTCCTTCTCAGAAGTGTCTTGGGCATTTTAGGGCAGATTTGTAAAGGGGTTTAGGTGCCTAACCAATGTCCGAAGCACGGATTATAGCCAGGAGAGAGAAGACTTGTCGATATTGCTGAAGGGTGGAGTACAGGGCTGTGAAATGCAGCATGCACCAAACTATGGCTGTCTCATAGCTGACAAAAGGTACCTCATTTGCATTAATGTGGTCCTATTACAAAGCTGCATTCACACAAAGTAGCTTTTGGTTTGCACCAGCAGGGTCTACCCAGGGCAGCTAGAACGTAGCACGTTGGTGTACTCTGCCCAGGCTATGGGGCAGTGGAGGCTGCACGGGCTAGCTACCTTGGGGGCCTAACTCCAAGAAGGTTTGCAGCTGAGAATCCCAAGCAGAGGGTGTTGTCTGTCTCTGGACCATCAGCCAGGTGCACCAGGTCAGCAGCTTATGCGCCAATGGCTCCTTCCTCTCCCTGCCCTTCTCCAGGCCGTTTTCCTCCTGGCTGGTGTAGAGCACTTCGCACTCAGCCAGCCAGCCCCTGAAAATCTCTCTTCGGCATTTCCCTATCCCCAGGCACACAGAATGTATCCGAGGTGACACTGAGCTGCCTAAGTCAGGGCTAAGTGTTCCCCATGGAGCTGAGCAATACCTAAACCCGTGGGAGCCTCATTGCTAGTCAATGGAAGGTGGTCTCCTAAGACAGACAAATGCTTTTGAAACTGTTACCCATTATCAGTAAATGAAAGTAGATACTATTCTAAAACCTCACCGTAATTGTGAACCTTCAGCAATGCAATGTCTCCCTATTTCCCCCCCCCTCCCCCGGGAAGGTTTATCAATGCCCGACGGCGCATTCTTCAGCCCATGCTAGATGCAAGCAATCCTGATCCAGCCCCCAAAGCCAAGAAGATCAAATCCCAGCACCGTCCTACTCAACGATTCTGGCCCAACTCGATTGCAGCCGGAGTGCTACAGCAACAAGGAGGCAATCCCGGTACCAATCCTGACGGTAAGACCGGGGCAGGGACGAGTGAAGTCAGAGTACGTCTGGGTGGGTGATTGTCTTGTCACAGCAGAAAAGCATCAAAAACTGAAAGTGACTGGGAAGGATTTTGTATTAGAATTGCACCCGGTCTGGTGGTTTAAGAAGGCAGGTTACTATCTAGGCAGAATATTTTAGGAACAGGAAAACTGCACCAAACCTGAGGGTGTTGTCCCCAGATGTGATGCTTTGCAGCATAAGAAGCTACATCTGCACAGAGTGGTAGCCTATGTGTATAAAAAGCATACAGTGGGAGCGAAGGTCAGTAATTAAGAATGCTTGTCTGTTAGCAGGCGTGTTGTACATTCACACACATTGCTTGTAGTCTCTGTGGAGAAATGCTTGTTGTGGGGAGAAGACATCTGAGGTCTTCTTAAATTGTATCCAGTTTCTCACTGTATTTCTGCATGTCCCGGGGAGACCCCAGGGCACCATGTATCAGTTAGTCATGCCCCTTCTGGCTGGAAAACTCTGCTGGAGAAACAGTGAAGCTAGAAACATTGGGTATGTCTACACTACAGTGTTATTTCGAAATATCTAATTTTGAAATAGTTATTTCAAAATAGCTTCTTTCGAAATAACACGTCTACACACAAAATGCATTTCAAAATAGCTTTTTGCTATTTTGAAATAGCGCATCCGTACTGAGTGGACACTGATTCGCATTTAAGGCCGGCTGGAGCCAGGTGGCATCTGACTCAGATGATGAAAATGAACAAAGATCAGCTCACCCTGCTTGGGATCGTTATCGAGAAGAACCCACCCGCAGAATGAAGCCGAGCGCACTTCTTTCTGACACAGCGTTTCCCCATATTCTGCCCCATCTGGTTTTAAATATGTGCACAGAGACAGTTCTACATGGAATCATTTTCACTGACAAGGGTCTCCTGATGCTGAATCGAATTTTTCCCTGGCTGAATTTCATCCAGCATCTCCTAGTCAAATCACTTGTATATCACTAAGGGTATGTCTGCACTTGCAGCCTAATTTGAAAAACGCCCATTTCACTGCCGAGTGTAGACACGGGAAGTTATTCCGGGCTTGTCAATTTCAAAAAATGGCTCCCGGACGGGAACATGCAAATCAAGCGCGGGTTATTTAAATCCCGGGCTTGATTTGCAGTTTTGAATGCCTACATTTGCAGCCCTATTTCGAATTAGTCTGCAAGTGTAGACATACCCTAAGTCGTTTCTCTTCCTCCTTAGTATTAACGCCCTGTAGATATTGCTAGGGGATTAGCCTATCTCATTGGCTATGTCTAGACTACGTCCCTCTTTTGAAAGAGGGATGTAAATTAGACATATCAAAATTGCAAATGAAGCCAGGATTTGAATTTCCCGTGCTTCATTTGCATAATTGTGTAATGGCGTTTTTTCGAAAAATGCTATTTCAGAGTGATATTGTGGTCTAGACATGGTTATTTCACAAAGAAAAGCCTATTCGAAAGATCCTGTAACCTCATTTTTGTTCTCTTTGTTTCTGGTTAGTGTCACCAGGAGTGCTGGATGCTCTTGTCCAAGACAAGTCTGAATTATTTTCAGCCCATATTCCCAATCTTTTTGGATCACTTTTAGATTCTTTTATCAGCACTGATGTGTGCAACTCCTCCCAAGACTGTACCAGGTGGCAATGCACCCAGTGCACGGTTCCGCTTTTGTAACACACGTTGCTCTTTGCCATCTCTCCGATAACAGGTGTTTGGCCAGTTGTGGTGTGGAGGCACAAGGTGTTTGCTCAGTGTTTTGGGGTGATATTGGGCCAGATCCTGAGCTGGTGTAAAATGGTGCAGGTCAGTTGATGTCAGTGGAGCGCTGCTGATTTACACCAGTTGAGGATCTGGCTTATTTTGGTGGTAACCAAGGTAAAATGTGGTCTAGATATTGCAGTGGTGGGTAAGTATAAATGTGTACAACAAAAGGAACATTAAAGTTGCTTAGAAGAGAAACATTAACGAGGTGTAAAGCAGTAGCAAGCTGGTGATGTGAGGGCATCGCTTTCCTGGGACCAGCCTGAAGGGCCTGATGTAATCAAGCAGCCGGAGGCATGTCCCTGAGAGCTTATGTTCTCCTCGCAGACAGCATCAGCCCATGGCAGCTCTGGTACCAGCACCCCAGAAACCTTGTCTCTTGGGCTGGAGGTGTGAAGCACCATATCATCACCCTGAGCATTCGAAAATCACAACCCAGGCCCCCAAAATCATGAGCTTGGCGAACAACTGCGGCCTTTCAAACAAACACGCTAGCTAACTCACTAGCTAACTCATAAAACGTCAGGGTCTCTGGTTCCTGAGCCTTTCGGGTGCTCTGGAGTCGCGTTGTCAGGGTTTTCTCCTCAGCCACAAGGGCTAGAAGGAGCGCTTCGACTCTCACCCCCAGCAGAGACTGACTCCAGCCGAAGGGGCTTCGGGAGCACCAAACACTGAAGGCACAGGCCACACTGGTGAGATTCAGCAGCACTGTCAGATGTCAGGTGCACATAGCCCTGTCATGACTCTTGATTTAGCCAGAAGGCTTCTGCTTTCAGCTGCCTTCAGAGTGGCCACTTCTGAGGAGCATAAATCTGGCGAGCTGCAGAAGTGCACTCGGCTTCATCTCCACGGCTCGAGGCGGGCGCTCCATGCTTAGACGTGGAGCTCTGCTTAGAGGGTCACTAGAGTCACTTCTCCCTGGACAGAGCTGGGATCAGGGATCGGCAGCAAGAGCAGCATGGCCAAGTCAGGCAAGGAGCAGCTAGTTAGGCATGTGGCAGCCTCATCCTCCTCCCAGGCAGGGCAGCTGCAGCCACCATCAAGGGCCAGTAGCAGAAACCCAGCCACTGCCTTCCTGACCAGTCCTTGGCCAAGGAGCAGCAAGGCCAGAGTCTCAAGAAACTATGTTCCCAACGTTCCTTCCAGGCTGCAGTTTTATCAAGCACCATCTGACCGTTAGAACATTTTATATCATTTATGTAAATAGAGAAAATATGCAAATCCATCCACAAAGCGTTAAAATCTCCAGAATTGCAAAACGTCAGCTTCAGCATGCATGCAAGTTTGTAAATTTGCTCCTCTGCCCCCTTGTGCCGCTGTTTTCCCAGCTGTAAAGTCTGCCTAGTAATAATGCCCAGTGTTGGAAAACTCTCTTAGACCTCTGTCATGGCTCCTTCCCCACTCTAGCATGATAAATGCAGAGGTGGGGGCCAGCAAGTGTACCCCAAAGCCTTATCTACCAGGCTTTGGTATAAAACTTCCCCCCAAGATCTCAAAAACCTAGATCTTGGGAATAAAACTTCCGCTGCCACCACCCAAATGTGATAAAGAAATCAGGGGAAAGATCATTTGGGAAATCTTACCCCTAAAATAAAAATCAAGGCACACAATTAACCACTGCCAGGTTAATAAAAAGAAAAGAAAGAACTTTTATTATTACAACAATATTCCTGTTGCAACCATAATGACTAGATAGGGAGGTAACAAAATATACTCATGGAGAAACTCCATGGGCCTAGAACTTAGTTACAAAGAAAAGCCAAAACATCTTTTAAACAGTGCCAGATCTCAGATCCCATACCCAATCCTTAAAACAATAAAACCTAACACCTCCTCCTCCTGCTCCCCCTCCCACTTCTTCTGCCACCCCCATTCTTCCTGCCCCACCCTCATACCTACTCCCTCTGGGAACACCGAGGCCCCCGTACCCGCAGTGCTGCTAGATGGGAGGGCCAGCAAGACCTCCAACCCTGAGCTTCCCCTCCCCTTCTTTCCCTTGCCTCCCCCTTCCAGCTCCTTCCTCCCAGGTTTCCCCCCTCTCCTCTCCCACCCTCATTCCTCCCTACCCCCACCCCAATTCTGTTAAATAAAGAGAGTTTTTTATGCTAAGGCAGGTGTTTTTATTGTATATCAGGAAGGGGGGTTAGGGAGGGGAAAGGGGAAGGAGGTGAAGGTGGAATGTAAGGAACAAGGCCCCAGTGGGGCACACCAGGGGAACTTCAGTCCTCATCCACCTGGAAGCTCTCCCACAGGGCTTCTCAGATGCAGACAGCCCCCTGAAGGGCCTCCCGGCTGGCAGCCGTGCGGGGCTGTGCGTACTGGCCAACCAGGTGGTCAGCCTCTGCCATCCAGGCTGTCAGGAAAGCCTCCCCCTTCCTCTCACACAAATTTGGAGCACACAGCACGCTGCTACCACGTGCGGAATATTGTGCTGAGAGAGATTGAGGCGGGTGAGGAGGCATCTAAATCATGCTTTCAGTTGGCCGAAGGCCCCCTCGACCACAATGCAGGCCCTGCTGAGCCTGGCATTGAAGGCCTGCCAGGAGGGGTTGAGGTGCCCCATGTACGGCTTCATCAGCCAGGGCTGTAGGGGGTAGGCCGCATCCCCCACCAGGAACACTGGCATGTCCACGTCCCCGACCCTGATGTTGTGGTCGGGGAAGAAAGTCCCAGCGTGCAGCCTCTGGAACACGGAGGAGTTGTGGTACACCCGCGCGTCATATGCCTTGCCGGACCAGCCCACATTAATGTCCGAGAACTGGTCCCGGTGATCAGACACGGCCTGCAGGATCATGGAGAAGTACCCTTTCCTGTTGATGTAGAGGGAAGCCTGGTGGTCCAGGGCATGGATGGGGATGTGCGTCCCGTCAATTGCCCCCTTGCAGTTGGGAAAGCTGAGGGTGCCAAACCCCTGGCTGACCACGTCCAGGTCGGTGAGGTGGACGGCTCTGCGGAGCAGCACCCTGTTGATGTCCTTGACCACCTGCAGAGAGACACGCAAAACCAAGGGTGTCATGGCTCCTTCCCCACTCTGGCATGATAAATGCAGAAGTGGGGGCCAGCAAGTGTACCCCAAAGCCTTATCTACCAGGCTTTGGTATAAAACTTCCCCCAAGATCTTAAAAACCTAGATCTTGGGAATAAAACTTCCGCTGCCACCACCCAAATGTTGCTAAAGAAACCAGGGGAAAGATCATTTGGGAAATCTTCCCCCTAAAACAAAAATCAGGGCACACCATTAACCACTGCCAGGTTAATAAAAGAAAAGAAAGAACTTTTATTATTACAACAATATTCTGGTTGCAAGTATAATGACTAGAGAGGAAGGTAACAAAATATACTCATGGAGAAACTCCATGGGCCTAGAACTTAGTTACAAAGAAAAGCCAAAACATCTTTTAAGCAGTGCCAGATCTCAGATCCCAGACCCAATCCATAACACAATAAAACCTAACGAAACTACCTAAACTTTACCCTACTTACAGAAAATGAAGAATGATGTCTTGGAGAGAGAGAGAGACATGCTTGTCCCTCTCTGTAGCTGCAGAGAACTCTCAGAGAGACCAAAGGGAGAAAAAAAGAAAAAAGCCCAAATTCCTTTGTCCCAGTTTGAAAAGTCCCACCTACATTCTTATTGGTCACTCCACCTGGCTAGGTGTAGTTAACCCCTTAATACCCAGGCTGCTGGCTAACCCCCATAATCATGACAACCTCGGATACAGGTTCCATGCATGATAGCGGTGTTCCCCCACACATCGCACGTCAGATTCAAACCTCGTACTGAAAGTTCAGCTCCTGTGCGGTGTTTCGAGGCGTGCGGCTGCCATTCGGGGTGAGAATGGGTTAGGTTAAACCGGAGGTTGGGTGTTCGCATCTGGTGTTGAACGGGAGGCCTGGCACATGCCAAGCCCTGGGGGCCTCTCCTTGTCCAGTCAGCAGGCGTGGGAAAGCAGCGTGACGGCACACGGCAGTGCGGAGCCAGCAAGCTAAAGAGTGCCAATGTAATTCTTCATCTCAGGCGTTGTTTTCATTTCAGGCTCCATAATCATGGACAACCTGCAGTCCCTGTCTTCCGACACTGCTACCATTGCTATGCAGCAAGCCATGATGGCAGCTCACGACGACTCACTCGATGGAACAGAAGATGAGGAGGAGGATGATATGGAGGAGGAGGAGGAGGAAGAAGAAGAACTGGAGGAGGATAATGAGGAACTCCAGACAACGAACGTCAGTGACCTTGGGTTGGAGCACAGTGACTCCCTGGAGTAGCACAGAATTGAAGGGTCCCTGATTTAGGGTAGAGTAGATGTCTCCGGGAAAGATGTGTGCCTACCTAAATCAGCAGCCTCAGGCATTTTAGAGGAATTTGACATACAAGCCCCTCACATCGCTTTAAAAATTATGTCTGACAAAACCAAGTAATGATACCCTTGCAAAGAGTCCTGCTTGCCTGCAATACATGCAGGTGTGGACAGGTGCGAGTGCACATTAAGAGACCAGGAGAATGTGCAGGGTTATTATTTAAATGAAGGACACATGTTTACAAGGCACATATTGTGGCCAGTTTTTTCTTTTGTTGTTGTTGTTGTTTTTGATAAGAACAAAAAGTGTTTTTAGGGTAAGCTGTTTTCTGTATGACTGAGTTGTTGATGGATGTTATCATGCAATGCCTTTTTTGACATGCAGGTGAGAGGCAGGTCTGTTTTCATTTTCACTGCTTTTATGAAAGATTTATAAATGCAAAAGGATTGATGCTTTTTTAAGTAAAA